GGCTTAACCGGAAAAACGGCTTCTACTGTACTATTTTAGATGCGATTTTTTGTTTTTATCTGCGTTTTAGTAGGGTATGCCATGGCTATGCACACTAAGAAGGGATTTTTAGAAATTCCCCTGCGGGGGGTGAGGGAGAGCATTAAGGCTTAACCGGAAGAACAGCTTCTACTGTACTATTTTAGATGCGATTTTTTTGTTTTCAACTACGTTTAGTCTTCATTGAGTACTTAGGTGTATTAAACTGATAACATTTCAGACATTGTTATAAATATTTTTATCTATTTCGATTTTAAAAATGTTCAAACCGTTTTAAATTCGAATTTGTTATTGCATATTGGTTCGATTATAGAACGATTGAAAATGTTCTGGAAAATTGATCAAATTGAAAATAGTTCGTTTGATTCTTGGCAATTCTTTTCAGTGGTAGGCATTATATAGACCTAACGACTACTATGGTTATTGAAATATTGAATGTAAATGGGGTTTGCTTGCAAAACCTCCGTGGACGAAGTCGCGGGTAACAGCTAGTACTAATATACGATGTAAAGTATATTTCTAGACAAACTCTGAAAGTGGTTTTTTTTTTGAGACAGAGATGCTGTATGTGACTTTTTTGCATGATATGATAGATATCAGTGCAATATTCTAATTCATCTCCAAAAACATGATGCAGCATCTCTGATTTCAATGATGGCAATTGCAGTGTTAATGTGATCCCATTGTTAATTCAAAGTGGTTGGTAATGGTTGCACCTAGACATGATCTTTTGCATAGTGACACAAAAAGAAACTACAGGGTTTCAGTTTAGGAAATGCAGGAGGCCATACCATCAGCTTGCTATCCTCCTTTGAACACATCTGATCTATCTCTACAGGAGGGTTTGGTTGAAGTACACCCATACTGGATAGTAGAAGTGCAGAGGGGTTCCATCCTGTTGGTTTCATGGAATTGCAGGACACAAAATGTCTTCTCTTCTCCATATGCCACCATGGAGTTTTATTACTAACTCTGTACTACTATTGATATCACTTACAAAGTTTTACAATTATGTTTATTGTTAAAATTAAATATTAGAAAATGTATTATTTAAAATTTTCATACTAATTAATCTATGTTTTTGTATTTAGAGTAGCTTAAGAGGACATAAAAATATTGTAGGATATATTGATTCTACTATTTGTCATATTGGAGGTGAAGTTTATGAAATATTATTATTGATGCAATATTATAGGGGTAAGTTGCTAATAATATAATTTATTAAAATTCCAATCATACTTTAAACTTGCCTATTTATGTGGATTGGATCCTATTTGATTTTCTCAAATTTGTCAGTTATATTTTGTAAACACACAGGCTGATGATTAATATAGGATGACTTTCTTTATGATGATTTTTTTTTTATTCCTTATAGAAATATACATAAGTAGAAGTAACATTACTTTTTATTTTTCATGTAAGATATTTTTTACATAATTTATTTATATATGTTTTTGCTATTATAATTGGATAAGATTTTAAATGAATGAACAACATGTAGAAAAATTTTTTAAATAATTCCACATTAATTTTTTAAATAAATTCACATTACATATAAACATATTTTTATATAAAGAAAAATATCATATTTATTGTAATGGTAAGTATCATTTAATAAATAGCACAGCAGCAAGATAAAAAAAGTTATAGATAGCTTGCTGTTTTAGAATAAATATGATATTTTTATTTATATAAAAATATGTTAGTAAAGTTCAAAACTCACACATACGCTGATTAAATTCAAAAACTTATATATATTGAAAAAAACATATGTACAGTTACAAAGTTCACAAAACAAACGTTTACAAAATGTCAGATGTTAACAAAGTTCAACACATTTATCCACTACAACAGGTCCGTCGAAAAGACACCTTGCGACGAACTAACTCTAAAGTCATTTACAGTCCAACAAGACGAAACAATCTTCGGGGGATAGCTTAGGCAAACTAAAGTCAAGTGTGAGTTCCCTTCATGCGTCCAAGGTGAACCTCGACAAACGTGAGTTCCATAGATGTATCTTAGGTGAACTAAACTTCCCGCCATAACTCAATCCTTTTATATGGATCGAAGCCGAATTGGATTCCACCAATCAGCAATTAGCAGCGCTACACGACTTCTGCCAATGGTCCGATGTCTCTCAACCAATCAGCGGTCGAGTCTTCAAAAGTGGTCCAATTGCCGTTTCTATGGCGACAACCGTCGTTCGTTGAACGAATGGAAAAGCACGGAAAATCGCATGACAGACGATTTTTATCCCGACAATGTTTATATGTAATGTGAATTTATTTAAAAAATTTTTAGCTACATGTTGTTCATTCATTTAAAATCTTATAGATCCAATCTTTAAGAATAATAAGGTTAACATAGTGTACTTTAAAACGTATCTACTCAAAATAGTTTTTATGGTTTCTTTTGAATAGTCAACAAACTAAATTTATCTGTTCTGAAATGTTTGTTAGATACAATAATTTTGATTTTAATATTATTATAGTTATTTAATAAAAAATTAGATTGAATTAATAAAAAAATATATAAAATTATATGCTATAAAGCATATAATTTATAATGAAACAAAATGTTTTCTTTATTAACTGTTATGTACACTGGTTTCCAAACATTAAGGAAAAATCACAAAAATTGTGATAACTCAAAAAGTTACTCTGATTTTAATGTACCTGAGAAAAAGAATACAACACATTGTAAGGTGTAAAATAACATGAAAACAAATTACAGGACAATTATGATGTTATAGTAGTTAGCACCTGTAAGAAATTGACAAACTAGTTGTGTCAGTTTGGTATAGGAAAAGTATCTTCAGTATGGAGTGTGATTATCTCGAGCAGCACATACAGCAATATGTAATGATGTCAGTTATGTGGTCTATGAGGTCAGTAGGAAGTGAGAGCCATTGTTCTTATAAAGCTGCTGTAAGTCTGGCAACAGTCTGAGGAAGAGGATTGAGAGCAGCAATACCTCTCCCTAGAGTATCCCAGACATGCATGATGAGGACCAGAGATTGAGTTGGCCACTCCATGAGCTGAATTGTTTGCTGCTAAAGGTAACCTTCCACGATATGAGCCCTTTGTGGTTTAGTATTATCACCGTGTAGGATGAAATTATTGCCTGTTTCACCAGCCTAAGTGTGCACATAGGCATCAAGGATGCCATCTCTATACACTTAACACAGTTTCTCTTGGAAAGACATGGAGATCTGTGTGTCCATCCAAAGAGATACCACCTCAAACACAGACACTGCCTCCTCCATATGAATCTCAGATGTTTAATAGATGATAACATGATCCAGGTTGTCTCCAAATCAAAAAATATTTGCTATTGCTTGCAAGCTAAACCTGGACTCATTTGTAAAGAGAACAGTCCTCCATTGATCTGCAGTCTAGTGGACATGTCAACATGCTCAAATCTATTGCTCCCTCCTGTGACGAGGAGTGGCGCACAAATGGCTGGTTGCCTCGCATATAGACCACCTTCTGTGCCCAGTAGACATTGACACCATTCTTCTAGTGGCTGTAGCAAGAAAAGATCTAACGTGGGCTGGGGTTGAGATTCTACTTCTTTGTGCACATAACTACAAATATCAGTCATTGGGGCTTGACATAGCTCTTGGCTGTCCTTGGCTGAACCTTCTGGATGCCGAATCTGTGGTCTGGAATTGTTGCCAAAGTCTATGAACCTTAGAAGGACTTACATTTAACCATCTTTGTCTGATTTTGATCTGCCTCTAATCTCCCAATGGCCCTCCACAGTTATTCTGGTAAATGATGCCTTGAAGTCAATCTAACAAATTGTCTATCCCAGATTTCTTATATTCCTATCACAGCAAAACCTGTAGTCTTATTCTTAAACATGCATTTTTATGCTACTTGCAGATGATATATTCTGATTGCAGCATCACTATTTTGCATACTGCAGTTTTGTTCAGCATCTTTTATTTAACAACATACTCAAATTTTGTAGCAATTAGTTTATTTTTAATCAATTTTTGTTATTTTTGTGATTTTTTTTTTCTTCTTAATTTTTGGAAACCAGTGTGTATAAAATGAGACAGTATTGTAATCATGTCAAATTTTACCCTCTGAGTTTTTTGAAAATTTTGATGTTTTGAGACCTCTTGAACTCAAAAAAGGAAAAAGTCTGTGTGTTGGCATCTATTTTATTTAATATCACAGGATGGGGTAAAGATTAAGAAACAAAATTTGGTATAGTAACTTGTATATAAGGGGATTGATGCTATTAAATTTTGGTGCTTAAAGGTTGAGAGAATGGGGAGATAGAGGGTGTTGCATCATATCTTGAGTTGGATTGAACTTAATGAAAATTTTATATTTTTGCCATTTACAATTTTTTTAAAAATTCATTTCTACTTTGAAAATTAAGTCTTTTGCTATTTTTATAATAAATAATAATATAAAAGTTATTTTTTAATAACATCTAATAACAGATAATGCCACACAAAATTTTAAAACTTTGTGTTAATTTGTCTTGGTGTTTCTTAAATATAAATACTTTTTTAAATAATGAAATTTCTCACAATTTATTAAAATTACTCTTCTTAAGCATTTGTTGTTGTTTAAATTTTATACATAGTATAATTGAAAATTATCAGACTTCCTAATGGTCTAATAAGACTAGTGGTCTTATTAGACCATTAGGAAGTCTAATAATTTTCAATTATTAGACTTCCAATTATTAGACAATTATTAGAATTATTCAAGTGTCAGATAATCAAGTAAGAGCAGCTTTTTTTTAATTACCACAAAATTTTACAACAATATAAACAATAAAATTGTTTTTGATAAACTTTAATTCTTTATTACCTTGAGAAAGATTGAGATGTTTCTTATGTAAATGAAACTATAATTGCTATAATTATAATTTGTAACAATTCAAAAGAAAATTTATATCTTATGTTAGTGATTGAAATTATTTGGTTGTTGCAAATGAAATGGCTGATTTTTACTTCTGACTTTGAATTTACCTGTTCAATTAAAATTGTCTCTACCTACATTAATACACTTTTCCCAATGCAATAAAAATTCATTAATGCCAATTTGACAGAAATTGCAAGAATGAGAAGCCAGAAAGTCATTAAAGATACTTCATATTGTGTCCTCTTCCTTGAAGACTTTTCGTGCCAAAAAACTATTTAAATGTTTAAAAAAAAAGTGATAGTCTGTTGGCAAAAAGTCTGGAGAATAAGATGGATGGGGAAGAATTTCTTTTGAATACTTTCATTTTTGTGACGAATAATTAAAGAACTGCAGACTCCAAATGATGCTCCTTATCTTACTCAACGAGTTTCTGGTATCATTTGTTGAGCTTCTTGACTTTCCCTAAAATGTTTACATGTTGAGAAATGGTTGAATGTCCAGTATGTTCCACCTTTCTGCAATTTCTCAGACAGTTGGATGACGTTCTGATTCGATGATCTTCAATTCTGATTTTTGAGATTTATATTCTCAGAATGAAATTTTTTGAACCAGTGCCTGGTGGCCTGCTCACTTGCAGAACCTTCACCAAAAGTTTTATTGGTATTTTGGGTTGCTTTGGCTGTATTATGTCCCTGCTTATACTCTGTGGAAAATTATTCCATTTCCTTTTTTTCATGCAATTAGAAAAAGTACTCTTAAACATGTGGAACTTGCAATATAAATGAGATTACATTTTAAATTCACATATTACGTGTGTGCTCTTCCAATTGCAAACACCCAGCACTGTTCACATGGAAAAAAATTGAACTAGAAGACTGAAAAGTTTAAATTTTAAAAACGGTCATTTTATTTGCAACAACCCAGTATAGTTGTTATTCTTAATATGTTTATTGACGTAATGTTGGTCTTCTGTCACTAAATTCTAAATAGTGAATAAAGTAAATGAATTAGCATTGCATGATGCTTTCAATAAATTTCAAGTTAGCTATCTAAAAATGAATATGAAGGTTAGTGCAAGAAAAATAAACTTACAAAAATGGAAAAGGAGTAATTAATCTTTTCCTTGAAAATGAACATCTTTGAGAAAAAGAATCTACACAAATGAAATATGTACAGTGGAACCTTGGTATACGACCCTAATCCATTCCTGATGTTTGGACTTATACCGAATAGGACGTATACCAAACCAACCTTTCCCATAAGAAGTAATGTAAAAATGATTAACCTGTTCTCATGTAAAAAAAAAAA